TCGGTGGTGGAGGGATGAATTATATCGAACATCCTGTGTCCAAATTTGATACCCTTGCTGGAGTAGCTATCCGATATGGCGTTGAGGTAATTCAATGAACTGATCTCCAATTCATCCGTTATGAATAGAATCGGAACCATTATTATCAACGGTTTTTGTTTTGCTTTTTAAATTGAGAAAAACCGGTTTTGGATTTTGTGAGTGATGTCGATTTTCAGATGGCATTTTGTATGCATATATAAGAATTAGGCCGCGGAAAGTTTGGGGTTGCAGAGTATTGAGGTGGCCCTAAAAGTGAAAACCAAGTGGCATGTTTCCTTAGGTCTTGCATTTTATCTGACTAAAGAAGAAAGGTGTAGTTGCAGCTGCTTCACTTCATGGTGATCACTAGCCTAATTCAACAATGGATCATATACAGTGCATAAAATTCTCACTGCTCAGCTGCTCACTTTTTCCATTTCTCCTCTTGTCTTTACTGGCTATGTTACCCTTTTCATATTTTATGTGGGATGTGTAAATCTTAGTGGTGCCTAACTCCAGGAATAGTAAGGGGTAGGGTGGGGGGTTGTTTAGAGGTCAGGGCCAATGAGCTTTTTTGTCGACTTCGAAAATGCCATTTTATATGGAAGTTGTGCATCTTTTTCACATTAAATCTATTTATGATCCTTCGTTCTTTGGAAAACCAAATTTGGTGGGTGATCATTAATTTTTGCATTTTTTTCTGGTGACAGGTAGCAGATGTTAAGAGGATAAACGGACTAACTACGGATCTCCAAATGTTTGCTCGAAAGACACTTAAGATACCGTTACCGGGGCGGCATCCTCCATCTCCAAGCCTGTCAAACGGTTTTGATGTACAAGGGTATGCTCCACTTCCTTTATACGCAAAACTTCCCCCCCCCCCCCCCAATCGTCAAATATCGATGATTTTTATGTATTACCGTAAATCCATATGATTGTATTTCATTAAGTTGGAAGGCATCCACTCCCCCTGCTTGTTATATGATTTATTTCATATTGATTAATTGTTTTGTTGTTCTTGTTTTCTTCTCATATTTTTAGAAATTGTGACATCTTGTATGCTTCTCATTTCCAAATTTAAGTACAACAATACATTTATTTCAATCAAATTAGATTTTTAAAGCACATAAAAGTTTTATTATCCATTCATGCCTTAAGTTTTACTTATTCGGCCGTTTTTTGTGCCAACAACAATTGTCAATTAATGAAGCATCAACAGTCATGGTTGCACCTTAGGCTACAACCCCATATATTTTCTGTTGTAATTTTGCCCGCCATTCATAATCCCATTCACCAATGTTGCTACAATGGTGATAATTATAGCCAACGTAACTACATAACATTGGATCTCCTTGCATGATTGCCTGATTTTCCCTATTTTATTTTCTTGTAATAACTTTGTATTAGGAATTTTAATTATTTGAAACCTTTATTGCTAATTAGTTAATTTGACAACCCGCTGCTTTATGGCACGGGCATGTAAGAGTGTGACATGATAAGCTAGCTCACATCTTTTGATATGTCCCAGAAGCTATCTTTTGGTTCTGAGGGTGATTTACAAAATTAGTAGAAAGCTTCTAAAAGAGAATTTAAGTTTGTTTATAAGAACTTCTACCGAGTAGCGTTTAGGCTGCAGGAGAAAGCTTTTCTCATTTAATGTGGTTTTATCCCTTTCTTTTTGGGTAAATGTGCTCTTACTTTTCAACCAAGTTTTTCTGTTGTATATACTAGCTAGGCTCTGCACTCTAATATAAACCAAAGAACTAGTGAAAATTTTCTTTACATTGATTTGATTATCAAATCAAATCAATGACATCATATACCTTTTTCATGCTAATGAAATTATATACAGATTATAATTTAGACCAAGTATTATTGTAAAATGTTACTATACATTTCAAAACACATCATTCCCTCTGTACTAAGAGCAAGTCTTGGGAAACCTTTGGTCGAAGACTCAAAAATATGTTTTCTTGCAATTGTATGTTTGCATTATACTCTTAAACTATTTGTTCTAAATTCCTGAGATGAACTAAAAAATGGGTGCTAATGTCAGAAGTTTGCCTCTTAATCTCCTCTAGACTTTGTAGGATGCATGGTGCCTAACTACAACATTCTTTTGGCAGAGATAGCATTTCAGAGCGGACCCCGCCTAACCGAAGACACTCAGACTTGTTTGATACATTTCAGTCGCTAAAACTGAAGCCTCCTCCTACCCAGCGAAAAGTTTCTTCAGCAATGAGCAATTTAAGAGGTTATTATGGCCTCGGACCACCATCAGATCAGAAAGCTGCATCTGGTGAAGGTTTTGAAATGGCCAGATACGAAAAGAGGGGAAGATCTCCTTATCTTGAGGATGACCCGCCACCTATCTCCACTGGTCTTCACAGAAAATGTAAAAGTGTAGCAAATGGATTTATGCCAGAGAATGGGCATGTGGTGGATCATGAAGCTCATCATGAAACTAAAGATAATGGCTCTGAAGGAAGAGTGTGTGATAAATCTTTCAGACGGCGTCAAAAGTCGGAAACTGATTTTTCCAGAACTCAGGAAATGCTGCTGAAAGAAGATAACAGCAGCAACAGTGGCGGATTTTCAGGTATTATGGGGGGCAAAGGCCTGGCTATGAGACCTAATTCAGCTAGTCGGACTGCCTCTGTTGCTAACAGTGAAGCGTCGTCTGTGATAAATCCCATTTCTATTGCATTGGGGGACTCTGTTGTTGACAGCAGTCTAGTCGACAGAGTTAGAAAGTCTTCAAGTGCTTCGAATTTGCAGGATTCTGATAATAGCAGCAGCACTTTGGCATCCCTCTGGCCAACATCCAAATGGAGTTTGACAGATTTTCAGGCACTCTCGACCGCAGCCATCACTAGATCAATCTTTGATGGCCTGCCTAAACCGATTACTGGTCGGAAGAACAAAACTGCACTTGATTAGTGCAATTTCCACTTGGCTTACACACTTCCATTGTTATATTTCTGATTGATGTTTGAGCCACGAATATAGAGATGTGGGGATAGAAATAAGAGATGTAGTGATTATATATTTAGACACGAATTGTAATTTTTTGGTTAAAGGACATTTCAAATCTCACATTGCAGGTGTACAAGTAAAACCGCAAGTGATTGCAGGATCTACATTATCCAGAGTACAGGTTTTGGTAAAATTGTTACCGCACTGTTGATAGAACTTGCTGTAGATTTATTTATCTGGAGAGCATTTAAGAACGTGTAGACGTGGGTGTTTTTGTTTTGAGAATAGAAGGTATATATTAGAGATATTTGGGCCATTGATTTAAAGCTCTGCTATTTATTTACGCATTTATTAAGTACGAAATTAATTGGAGCAATATGTCATTCAATGATGGAACCATAAAGTGCTTTGATATTTTTGAGAGAAAAATTGCTTAATTTATCTTAATTTTGAACATGTCATTTATGTTAATGAGTTAATGGCTCAATATTATTCATATCATTTATATTCAAATTATTCATATATATTGTTGACGTGTTAGTGAAATTTGTCACTCTGCTCTATTTATCTTAATTTTGAACATGGCATATTTTAGGAGGAAAGTGACAAACAGGATGGCAATTTTCCACATAGAGACCGTTTGGCATATGAGATTTATTAGCCAACTTTTTTACCAAACGCGTAACTTTTTCTATCGCACGCTGAATTGTGTAATAAGCAGAAAAGGTAAGATTGAGATTACTTTTTTTTTAGATATTTTTACATATAACTTTTTCTTTATTTTATTAATAAAATATTTTTTAAAAATAAATTTTTCTTAAATCAGCAGAATCAGGCAATCAGCCAAAGCAGCTACTCCAGCCAGAACTTTATAAATTTCAGCAAAATCAACCGATTTTCGTGCTACCAAATGGGTTCATAATATACTCAACATGACAATTTCCTATAGGATGAAGTAGGGATGGAACCGGGCTGGTCCAGGTCAATCCCGAGCCTAGCTTGTCTCAGTTCTTAATAATTGAAGTGCAGTACCAACCTAGTTTGGTCTGATGTTGGTTCCGATCCGGGTCGGGATCAAACCTTGGCCCGCCGATTAGTTAAAAGAAATTAAAAGGTAGTGGTTGGGACCGAAACCGGTCAGTCCCAAAATTTAGGCATGTAGCCCGACCCTCTTGTACCACTGTTCGGGTACCGAGCCAGTGCCGGAAAATAAGTCCTGGGCCGGTACAAACAGCACCGGTCCTGTTCGGTCCCGGGTTAGGCTGCATGAACCCACTCCATCCCCTAGGGTGGAGGTAGGGATGGACCCGGGCCGGGCCGGTTCCGGTTCCGGGCCGGGCCCGGGCGGGCTTTTTTTCGGGTTACATGGGCCCGGAACCGGCCCGGGTTGATACCGGGTCCGGGCCTAACCGGGCCGGGCCGGGCCGGGCCCGGTTCAATGTTTTTTTTTTTTTTTTTTTTTTTTTGACTTTCTTGTTATCTCCCTTACCCCCCCCCCCTCACCCCCACGCCCCAAACCTCCCTAAAACACCCAGCCCTACCCTAGGAAAAGAAAAAAAATTGAAAAAACCAAAAAAAAAAAAAAAAAATGAACCGGGCCCGGCCCGAACCGCCCGGGCCGGTTCAACAAAAACAGGGCCCGGAACCGGCCCGCCCGACCCGCCAAAACGGGCTAAAAGCCCGGAACCGGCCAACCGGGCCCGGTCCGGTCCGGGCCCGCACAGTAGCGGGCCGGTCCGGTTCCGGGCCGGTTCGGCCCGGCCCAGTCCATCCCTAGGTGGAGGTAAACAACAAAAAATACACTTACTACTCCTCTTCCATTTTATGTTTCCTAGTTTGGTTTGACACAATATCAATAAAATGATTGAAAAAGTTAATGTTGTGATTGAAATTTGAGTATAATAAAGTAAAATGCCGCAAACCACATTTTTATTTCCAAAAAAAGAAAATGTGACGCTTATTTTGAAACAACTTAAAAAGAAAATAAGACTAATAAAATGAAACGAGGTCAAGGGAGTATTGTATTACATTTCTAGTTGTACTAATATTATTTTTATTAATTAGTCACCTGCCCACCAACACTGCCTGATATGGAACAAAACAATTCATGCATTCAGTTGATTGTAACATTTCTATAGGCCTTTACATAGGTAATTACATCACACCTCAGGAATTAACTGTACCGTGTTTGTAATGTTTCCAACTATAAATAAAAACCCATAAAATTACATTAGAGGTACTAAAACCAAAACAGAAGTTTATATTGGACTGCCCAAATGAGCATCCATAACTCTAGAGGTCAACTTAGCCGTCTCAGCAACTCCTAGCCATCTTTTTATGAGATCAAAAACTTTTTCATTGCATAGTAGTTCCCGATGACCGGCACTCACTCCTACCCTTTCCACTGCCTCATAATGATCAGCCTGCAGAGTTCCGCAGATAAAATTTTACAGTAAGCATCCAATTTCATTGATGATGATTTGTTTTAAGTTTGATACTACCTGACTACCTCTATCCCGCTAAGTTTGGTGCATGGAGAGGTGGTAGGATATCAGAAAAGTAGGTATATGTGATTGATATTAAATTGATAAAGTAAGAAAAAAGTAAACAATTTAAAGCCACACAAGCATTATCAAATTTGGTATGAGGCAATCCTAATGGAACGGATCAAAACAAAACGGGACAATCTTAGTGGGACGGAAAGAGTATCCATGCACTACATTATACATGCAACTTTTGACATAAGTCTTATGTTCAAAATAATTTTTAACAAGTTACTGTCGATAAACATGATACAAAAATATTTTGAACAAGCTAAAAAGTTACAGAAACATACAATAATATCATAACCAAATCTTATTCTTGAGATTCGTTACTCAAGTTACATTACCATGAAATGAAGTAGGATAGTGACTACATAACTATATAAGATAACAAATTTCAATTAATCAAGTAAAAGAAAGTGAGAATTTTAAACAGATGTCAGGTCTCGATTTTGAAATTACAAAGGGTTTCTATGGGCTATGGCCACAGTCAAGGTTCTTATGTATATCAACCATAGGTGGTTTGACAGCTGGGAAAGAGTAGGAAGAAGTTCATATTATTGTAACTCTTAGTGTTAATAGTTTCAAAGTCTTTCTTTAATAAGGAGTAGTAGTTTTCTTTGGAGTAATATTCTTATCGTTTCTGAAATAACTCCTCTTGGATGAACAGTGTGACACCATTGACCAGCTTCCTTGTGTAGAGTGGGTGGTTAGGGTTTATCTTCATTAAGAGCCCGTTTGGTAGCACAGAAATCGGCAGTTTTGGCTGATTCTGCTGAAATTTATGAAGTTCTGGCTGAAGTGGCTGTTTTGGCTGTTTCTGCTGTTTTAAGTAAAAATTATTTTTAAAATATACTTCCTCCGTTCTTAAATAAGTGCAACGGTCAACATTTCACACTTGTCGAGACACAACTTTGACCATTAATATATATAATTCTTTATTAGTAAAAAATTAAAAAAAAATATAGAATTTGAAAATTTAAAATGAGACAAATTTAACAATATTTTTTTCAAGAAAATATATTAATACATTATTTAATTAAACGTAGTCAAAGTACAACATGTGAATAGTGTAAAATTCAACATGTTGCACTTATTAAAGAACGGAGGTAGTATTTATTAATAAAATAAATAAAAAATTATATGTAAAAATAGTTAAAATAGTCATCTACAGTAACTTCAGCCAATACAGCCAGAAAAGTAACTCCAACCTTACTTTTTCTGCTTATTACACAATTCAACGCGCGAAAGTAAAAGTTACGTGTTTGGTGAAAAAGTTGGCTGATAAGCCGAAAAATGATGTTACCAAACGGCCTCTAAAAATAGATCCAAGGTTTTACCCTTCTCCACTCCCTCAGAGGCCTTGGACCCTTTAACAATTTGGTATCAGAGCATGGAGGGGAAGAGGACCTATGATCCATTGGAGCGCTGGAGAGGCCAAATGACATGACAAAAAAAACTCAAACTGGCTGTGATGGGTGCAAAAGACGTGGAGCTTGTCTAGTTGTATCCTGAGCGGAGGTTCAGTTTGCTCAAATATGTGGCGCCGTGAAGCTTGTCTAGTTGTTCACCAATAATTGGGATGTAGCATTTATCCTTGACAGTTTTGTTGTTGAGCTCACTATAATCAACACAAAACGGCCACGAAGAATCGTGTTTTGTACTATGAGGACTGGTAACGAGTATGGGAGTGAATTGGTGAACCATGTCCTCAATCTCATTTTATGAAACATGGGTAGCAATATGGGTCCAGCTCCTGGCTAGGCTGCTACCAATGTTATGCAGTCGTCACACGGGCAGGCTGGTTGCAACCTGTTGAGAGTCTTGTCCAGTACTATGCATCCTGTGACTGGCTGGATTTCCATCTTGGCTGGTGACGGGCTGGCAGTAGCTTTGCCTCTTCATTCCACTATTTCCCCCAGCCAGCGAAATTCATGGAAGATTGCCAAAATCCTATACGATGGTTCCTAGCCCCGGTACTTACCAAATATCATGATGAATCAAGCTAAAGAGAAAATGAAGAAATCTACAACGAAGGATACCCCCAAAACCTCGAAGTGATGGAGCGGGCAGCTCCTCAAAATGGCTACACGACCACCGTTGGTGACGGACTGACGGCCTCACATGTAAACTTCACCCAATTATTCTGGAACCCAAGGATGTGGGCAAGACTCATGTATAAAGTTACCTGTACTCCCAGAACCTGCCCAAATTGTGATTGAAGAACCACAAAGTGAGTCATCAATTTGCATGGTGAAGGTCAGATCCGAGTCCGCTGGCGGGCAAGGTGCCAAGGTGATGGCAAAGTCATCTCCATTTATGTCTAACCTTTCTTATTCATAATCTTAGATTTCCAGGTCCAGAAGTTCTTTGCATAGATGGCCCCAGACGTAATGTTCATCACAGTGATAGCACAACCCTTTGGTTTGACACGCAGAAGCCTCAACACGAGATAATTGACATCACATGGGAGTTCGCTGGCTCCTTTGGTTGGGAGTGGGAGATAAGACCACTGGAGTCTGTTGCTGATACTGCTTTGAACTGGGCTGGTGGAGTTGGGGTGGCCAGCTGTTGTATGTGTCAGATTTGTCAAACCAGATTCATGGTGACATCCATGCTGCCAGGTACTTTAAATTCCAACTCCAAGTGTATTTCTTGCCAAGATCCTGCCATAAAGGAGTGAACTTGAAACTGACTGAAAAAACCTTCCCCCGAGAACATATAGATGTTTGAACGAGCTAATATACTGGAATAGGTCCCCCACCGGGTTAGAACTAGGAGGTGGTCTGGAGCAAAAAAGGAAGTTGTCTGAGTATTCCTTCCATCACAACCCGGTCATTAACTTGTCTGACCACAGTTGTGTGTACCCTGTAATGTGAAAAGTAGCCAATCCCACACAAGCTTGTGATGCTGTTTGTGGATGAACAAATTAGCACTCCCAGCATTTCAAGGAAATAAGTGGGCCCAATACCATCAAGATGGGAACTCTATTGTAGAATATCATGGAACTCTGAACCCATCCCTTAACCAGCGTTTATGGTGGTCAAACTGACAGTCCTCGGAAGAGCCAGAGCTCAAGGCTTTTGTGTTCAGGGCAGTTGACCACTGTGAAAAGGTCATCTATCTTTGCCTTGAAGGTCTCCTGTTGTTGACTAATATGGAGTACTACCTCTGTCCCACTAACATTGGGACAAGAGTGGGTGACACGGTTATTAACAAAAGTGAGTTGATGTGGTTGATTTTGAATTGATAAAGAATAAAGTAAAATGATTTATAGCCACACAAATTTTACAAAATTTGGTATGGGACAATATTAGTGGGATTTCACGAAAAGTAAAAGTGGGAAAATCTTAGCAGGACGGAGAGAGTAAATGCCATGAACATATCAAAGGTGTCTGCAACTATATAACTGATAGTCCTGTTGCCTATCATCCAGGGCTCACTGGGTACCGGGGGCATTGTGGTCAGCAGGGTGCCAGGGGTGGTTGGTCACTTGTTTTCCGCGGAAGCGGGTTCACCAGGGTGTCTGGGGATTAGAGGTCACTGTCACTAGTGGTAACGTTGTCACTGTCACTACCAGCAGCAGTATCTCTGGTCGGGGACAGCCGAGGACGATTGTGTAACTGGCCGGGATGGTATTACAGGGGCTTGGGAGGGATAATTTAGGATGATGCACTATTGAACTTAAGTTTTTCCTGTTTTGACACTTCTACAGTCACTTTTGGAAACTCTGAAGATGATCTCTTATTTTCATAAGCATTATTTTAGTAATATTGAAGAAAAAGCCCCTCAAAAGTTATTTGGCCTGGAATATTGGATCAAAATTAAATCCACCAATGTATTTAATTCCTTAAAACTACTTTCAAGAAGTCCAATCCATCTATGATCAATAAAAACATTAAATATATAAAAAACCATTTTCTTTTTCCTTTCATACGTAGAAAATTGAATAATCAATAAAATGAGTGTTTATATTTGAACCCTACCTATCCCACTCTGTTCAGTTCTCGATTAAGTTCACAACAAGGAGACTAATAAGTGTGCTAGAAAGTCACACAATTCAAGCCTTAACTAATATCCAATGTCCATTGTCCATGAGCGCCTACTATATAATCACTCTCATCTAAAAAATTATTAGAAGATTCACAAGTATTTAATTGGTAAAGCACTTGACAACATAGATGATGAATAGAAAATTAATCTTTATGAATCAAGACAACATAAAGAGAAGCTAAAATATAAAGAAGCACCTTTGCTGATTCAGATGGAACCGTTCCATCGCCATCCACATAGTTGTATTCAGGCTGTAGACAAATTGAAGCAGCACAAATAAGATGAGACCTTGGGCTCGTTTAACATGTAAATAGTTTTATCTTTTGATTATGATTTACATCAAATTAAACGAGTCTGACATACTGCAACCTCTAGTTCCACTAGACTGATTATTCTCTTGCAAAGAAGGTGCATTTGACATTAATGGATTAAAAAAAAGTTTACAGATTATGCCACATTAGCTCCTCAAACAGCATCATGAAACCACAATGACAATAGAAAAAATGGTGTAAGGTTGAATTTTTCTAAACACTTTGAATCCATATGGTGTACGCAAACTCCTTTTGACCACTTCTAGTCATATAAAATGGGATGTTGCACATCAAGCCTTTAGTTTTTTTTAAGTTCCATATTTTGTCATTTTTTTTCATTATTCCATCTTTTTCAATGGAGCCAAAGATTCACTATTTTTTGGGTTGGGAATATGATGGAATAAAGCAAAATGGATCACTAAACTCTCTGGGTTTCTTTATTATGAAGCAGCAGTCAGTCCATGTAACTTTCGATGCGATTTTCACCATGGGTCATCCGGAAACAATCTCGTTGAGTTGTGCTTTAGTACGGGGGTAAAGGCTACGTACATCCGACCCTCCCTACCCCACCGTAGGTGGGAGCCTTTGCGGCACTGGGGTAATGATGATAATGATGATTTTGTCATTTTTATTGATATCATTGCTTCAAACAATAATCTAGTTGTCGTAGCCTACATTTGCATATGTCGCATGCATGCAAACATTATATACTATCATCCGGTTTTTTTAATCGCAACATGTTGAATTTTACATTATTCACACGTTCTACTTTGACTATATTTTACGCTATTATTTTATGAGAACTATTTTTTTTTTAAATATTGTTCAATTCATCTCATTACAAATTTTCAAAACCTGATTTTTAATTTTTTTTACTAATAGAGATTAAAATATAATTACGGTCAAAGACGTGCGTTTGCAAGTGTGAAATGTTGACTGTTGCAACTAAAAAAGAACGGAGGAAGTATTAGGTAAACAAGGGGGCGCAGCTCACCTGGTAGGAAAAGGGTGCCACAAGGGAGAGGTCTCGGTTCAACTCCAAGCAAATATTTGGAATGGAAACCCACTTTCTTTTTATCGGTGTGTGATTAAAGCTCAATTTACATCCCCAGATAACTATATCCTTCTAGTCACTTACGTTGTCTATTCTAATAAATAGTGGTAGAGTATATTCAAATGTAAAGATTATTTACCAAGTCCAAATTAAAAATTACAAAAATTGAGTCAATCCATGTTACACCCAAGCTACATACAAAATAGGATGGAAGAACTGAAGAAGTTCATTGATGGATTAATGAGTCTGCATGGTAAAACTTATTCAATAGGTTATATCTTATTTTAAGCTCTTTATTTACAAGATAAGCTTTGTTCGGTTACTAACATATGAGCTTATGAGTATGCTTGGCAGAACTACTTATGCTTTGCACAGCACTCGTCAGGTTCCTCTCTTATAGTGGATCAAGATCAGCCAGGAAAAATGTCTTCAAAACGCTTATTTTAACACACATCAGGCCAAAGGACACCATTTAGGGTTGGTTTGCAACTCCTTTTAAAAAAGCACTTCTCAGATTTTGGCTTTAAAAAAGCACTTATTTTCCCAAACACTACAACTTTTATTTTTCTCGGCTTCCGCGTCAAAAGTGGTTTTACTTTTTCTATTACACAAAAAGCACTTATTTTACCAAACACTATCCACTTTTACTTTTCAAAATCACTTTTTTCTCAAACACTATCAACTTTTATTTAATCACTTCTCCCCATTTCATTAAAAAAGCACTTTTTTAAAAGCAGAAGCTGTTGCAAACAGACCCTTACTACTGAATAAATGATTTAGAGCTCAGATTTCAGAAAGATTTTCAGAATGACCAAGGGAAAGATGCACTTCTTCCTTTCAGCGATGTAAGAAATATCGTTTTATATATTTCATACATCAGCTACATGATAGCTAATTTTAGCAAAATCAGATTAACTTTCAGCTTCTCAGTTCTCAGATTCCATGCTTTCATTCAGCTTTCGAGTCCGGCATGTCAAACCTAACCTTAATTAATATCTTACTTCATACCCTATCCCATAGAGCTCACAATCAAAAGCTCCTGCTTTTTAGTTTCTTGCATTATTAACCTACACCCTTTACAGGAAGGTATCCTCTTCCTCTCTTTTCAAACATAAAAGAATAATGTTTATGCTTACATAGACAAGCTAGTGCGAGCTACCCAGGATTTAATTTTATCCCATATTTTTAATCTTTCAGGTTGCAGCTTTGAAGTACTAACTCTTCAACTATAAACTGCATTGCATGTGTTAGCCAGCTTTCTAGATTTGACATACGAAACAAAGTCATAATGACCTAAGTATGCAACTTTTTTACCATTGTATGGCAGATATCAGATAAGTCTTCAATTGGATTAGTTTCTGAACCATAACTGCAAAAAAACAAACATGTAGATCAGATATGATTGTTCTTAGAACATAAGAAAAGACCCACATGGCCTCACAATATTGTAAAGATCTTGATGACACTCGAATGCAGAAGCCATGCATGTCCATAGGAACTTAAAGTGCACAACTGCACATACAAAGGTAAATTTTAATGTGACTTCAATTACGCAAACAAGATGTGACTTTGAACTTTTTTTTAATATTTGTAACTCCTATTTCAAAGAAGTAAAATTGGGGTATGAAAATGAATCAAAAGAGGAGGGAAAAGGGAACTGTCGTGAAAGAGTAGCAAGATTTTTAAAATCGACAATTGTATCCCTCTGCAAGAAACTATGGAATCGTGAACTTCATATTAACAGAATCGCAACTTGTACAGGTATCAACTGTCGACCTTGCAGGAGATAAAGAGTATTAAAAAATCCATTTCAAGAAATGTGTTACCTTTATCATTTTACTTGCTTCTGAAAGAATCATATGCCAAAATGCCAAATGGATATGAATGTAAGTATGTTTATTGAGGAGTTTGTGGTAAGGTCCTCAACGATATGCATATGATGTGCTATATCATAATATTTTGACCCAACATTGATTGTCTATTATGTTTACCTAGTCTTAGGATATTAGATCATCCAAAATAAGGAAAATGAATCAATATAAGAAATGTTTTACTTCACTGACCCTTAACCTACATGGAATCTCCTAATTTTCCAGATATGCTAGTCACGTACCAAACATCAAAGGGAGTGTCAAAAGTTGTTCCATAGATGTTGTAGAAATCAATGCCCTTTGGTAGTTGGGCACCATCAATAATTTGGCGAGTACCAGTGGCCCAATTGAGAATTGAAATGTTGAAAGGCAAAGCAACTGTAACCCCATTATAATCCATCTGTAACATGAAATTTGAAATACGATAAGCACTTCCCCTATAAATAGTGGCCATGACATGCAGAGTAAATAAGAAAGCAAGGATGTAAACAATGACCGGCAAGACTCAAAGGATTATTCAGCTTAGCATAGTGACTCAACACACATAAGATGTTTCATCATCTGATAAGAACAGAAAAATAAAATCAACGGGGTAACCCGTTGCCCAAAATAATCAACGGCTGGATCCGTTGCCCAGAGCTAAATAGCTAAAACCAATATTATTAATGCCTGATTTGAATAACCCTAGGCAGGGGTTTATATAACCCTTACATCCAAAACTGAATAGGAAACTAAATCCTAGTAAGAAACATAATAGGAGTCCTAATTAAACCATTCAAGGAAACTAAATAGAAATAGGAAACCTCTAATTAATAGAAGTCCTAATTAAATCATACTAGGAAACAAAATAAATTAGGAAACAAAATAAAAGGAATAATTAAAATTAATTAAATTGCCCGCAGCTAGCCCACGAAGGTGGGCTCAAGCCCGTCCCACCCCATGCTCTTCCCGCTTCATATCAATCCATCCTCCTTCAAATTAACCTTGTCCTCAAGGTCGAAAACTCGCGGATCGGGAACTGAAATTTCCAGACATAGTATAGATTGGAAAATATCCTTCTTCTCTTTCCGGAACCTTTTCCTGGCCGGTTATTTCACAGAATTCATGCTGCTTGAGGTCCAAATTTTCATCCTCCTCAGCTATCATTACCCGCAGCTGCTTAAAGAGACAGTCATGTGTTGGTGTAAATGGTTTCTTGCACCTAAAGCATAATCCTTTGGCCCGCAGTTCTGCAAACTCTTTCGGCGGAAGTCGAGTGAATTGAGAGCGTGTCGTAGGCTGCCCAGACAACCCTGACTTCGTCCCCGGAGGCTGTCCACTATCTTTCGCAAAGCTGCCCTCCGAACCCTGTAAGCTGCCACCAATGGCAGTCAACGGGGAACCTGTGTTTGCCCTTAAAAAGCGGCTAGAACGTACCCCTGATGAATGATAATTCAGGCTGCCACTTTCTCCACTTTGGACGGACAGAGTATACTCCACTTCGCGAGCTAATTCCATAGCCATCTCCAGGTTGTTTGGTCGGAGCAATCGCAGCGAGCTTCGGATTATCTCCTTAAGACCGCTCATGTAATATCCCAAATAGTGCTCATCGGGTAAACCTGGAACTTGGCTTGCTAGCTGAACAAACAAGATATTGTAATCTTCTATAGACCCAATTTGCCTGACTCCGGACAATCGTTCATACTTATTCCCCTGAAATCGAGAATCAAATCTGTCCACCAAGGCTTTCTTGAAATCTGCCCAAGTCATCTCAGGCCTGCGCGATTTCAGCCAGGTCACCCAGTAAAGCGCTCCTCCTTCCATAGCTACCATCGCGGCAGCCACCTTCTTTTCCGGTAAAGTGTTGTGTAATTCGAATTGTTGCTCTACCCGAGCGATCCACCCAATTGGGTCTCCCCCATCGAACGACGGAAGCAGCTTTATAGTTGGATTGCTCAGCACGCCTTCTCCATGCAGCTCGGTTGCCGGGATTTGACCCACGTCATCCGCGGCTTTCTTCGGTGTGACCGGCGGGACCATCGCCTGGGTCAACGCCGCTAGTGAGGCGATGATCTCCGACAGCTTGCCACCATGCTCTGCCTGTTCGGCCCTTATCCGGGTCACTTCTTCTCTCATACGAGTTTGTTCGTTCTCCAGCTCTGTCAATCGATCATTCTGAGATCTCGTCATCTTGGCGGGACGGGATCCGGCAGGTCGGACCAATTGATAAGAACAGAAAAATAAAATCAACGGAGTAACCCGTTGCCCAAAATAATCAACGGCTGGATCCGTTGCCCAGAGCTAAATAGCTAAAACCAATATTATTAATGCCTGATTTGAATAAGCCTAGGCAGGGGTTTATATAACCCTTACATCCAAAACTGAATAGGAAACTAAATCCTAGTAAGAAACATAATAGGAGTCCTAATTAAACCATTCAAGGAAACTAAATAGAAATAGGAAACCTCTAATTAATAGAAGTCCTAATTAAATCATACTAGGAAACAAAATAAATTAGGAAACAAAATAAAAGGAATAATTAAAATTAATTAAATTGCCCGCAGCCAGCCCACGAAGGTGGGCTCAAGCCCGTCCCACCCCATGCTCTTCCCGCTTCATATCATCATCACCTTAATACCAAGTATGTTGGGGGTGGTAGCATGAAATATCGATTTCATGTATTTGCCAAAATTTGTTATCAGTTTTCACCAAAAAAATAATGCAACAAAAACGTGGATTTTTTAAATAAGTTTTACATTACACCTTCCTATCTCAACTCTTACAAAGGAACAAAAGATGAAATTCCAAAACATCATCATTGGCTTTTTCCATTGAAAAACAAGATTCTCATTGATATAAATCTTACAACTTCGTTATTTCTGAAGAGTGAAGCCTATATAACAATGTTTACAGAGAAAACTAATGTGTCGACAACTAATGTGATAAACCATAGATTTCTAATCCTAAACTTATGAATTTTTAATAACTTTACTTCTATATCTCTAGAGTTGTATATTTTTGTATGTGAATATTTTACATTGAGCCTACTTGCCTCAACCTTGATACAAACGAATACTAGATTAAATTCCACTGTGTAATCATCATAGGGTTTTACTATTAATAAAGGTTGCACTATATTTCAGTAAATCTATTCTTGGTCACCATCATGATCACCATCATCACCTCTATCATCTGTATTTGTTTTTCCCACTTGCATGAAAAACATTAGGGTACGCTGATGGGCTAAAATAGTTGCTATGGACATGTCAAGGTCTTATTTATTACAAAACATGCACATCGTGAATCATAACCAAGGTCTTTTACCATTGTCATCCAAAATGTCAGATGGCAATGAGTTGACATAATTGTTTTGATCATTTCCCATTATAAATGATATACTTCCTCCGTCCACTAAGATTATACATCGTTACTTAGTATTTTTATGATGGGACTACATATTTTAATATACTACTACCTCCGTCCCACTAGTATTATCCATGCTACCTACGTCCCACAACGAGTATACATCGTGAATCTTTCCTTTTCGGTCCATCCCACTAGATTATCACATACCAATTTTGGTAAAATTTGTGTGGTTCTAAATCATTATTATTTTATTTTTACTGTATCAATATCAACCACATAAACCCATTTTCTTAATAATTGTATCACCTCTTCATGTCCCAATGTTAGTGGGACGGAGGTAGTAGTATATTAAAATATAAGGTCTCATCATAAAAATAGACTTAATAGAAGTAGTTGCATGTGATCTTATATACTACTTCCGTATTTTAAAGTTGGGAAAACTGGCAAATAGGTCCTCAAACTTTCATAAAAAAGTCAATTAAGTCCTTCTATAGGAGACTCTGTCCAGTCGTCGCGATTTGGGGCGGTTCCCGATGGAATTTTTTGATGAAATTTTTTGAGCATCTTATTCATCAAGTCTAGTTTACTCATACCAAATTTCAGCCGAAAATTTAATCGGGAGCGCATTCAAATTAATTCGCGAACTCAAAAATGCGCAGTTATCTTCAAGAATTAATTTGAATGTGTTCCCGATTGAATTTTTAGCTGAAATTTGGTATGAGTAAACTAGACTTGGTGAATAAGATGCTCAAAAAGTTTCATCAAAAAATTCCACCGGGAACTGCCCCAAATCGCGACGGCCGGACAGAACCTCCTATAGAAGGACTTAATTGACCTTTTTATGAAAGTTTGAGGACCTATTTGACAGTTTTTCCTTTAAAGTTTGTTACACTTTCCTTTTTTGGATGTATTTAAAAGTTTGCTACATTTTCCATTTTTGGCAAGTGTTTCCTTTAAAAATACTCAATTACCCTTACCTTTTCTACTTTTTATCTTCTCTTTCATACTTTTCCACCTTCTCTCCTACTTTTTCCACACTATTCATTACTCCTACTATTTTACCCTTAAATCTTGTGCCCAAACGTATTGTAGAGAACATTGAAATACGGAGGGAGTATTGTTTTAATAATTTATATCTCATTCGGGTGGGATATTACTTCAACATGCCCCTGAACCTAAATCAAGTTGGACAACATATTGGGTGAGTAAATGGGCTAATCGGGCTACTCTAAATCATGACGCTAAAGAAGCAAATAAACCACAATCAAGATAAATGACATGGTAAGTAGCATGGAAACGCGAAACAGGTACATGTAACTGAAACAGCGAAATGCGAGAAAGATATTTCTAAAAAGTATAGGATATGAAATGTAGAGAAACGCGTAAAAATTATAAAATAAAATGATACATTTATATATGTTTCATATATCTATAGAGATTTTTATATATGCAATTTTTTTATATAACTATCTTTGACAATCAATAATAAATACATTCTACATGTTAAAAATTTGAAATTATTATTTATTAGCACAATACATTTCTAGAATGATATTTTCTATCAAGGAGCTCCGTCAAAAAGAAAAAACTGGATACCCGAAGTTTCTGAAACACTAATTGTTTTGGGAAACGGGTTTCGCAATTCCTCTTAATTACGGAACCGGCCCCAAACAGGAGTTTGAAGTTTTTGAGCTTCCTAATTGGGGGAATGTGACATGTGGCCAGGTAGGAAGTTTCCGTGGTTCATTGATGACACATGAAAGTGAATATTGGGATCAACTAATAGCTAGAAAAAGTGAAGAACTTTATATAATTTACAGCTCATTTAACAAACTACAATAGAACATATCTATCCAATTTCAAGCTGAAAAATATTTGATTAGCTACAAGATATATCCTAATATTTATCATGGTAACATAGTAAATAAACATGCATGGAACATGTTTTAAAAAAGTGTTTCATCAAGCAAATTACTAGCCTCTCTTGTAAATAATCTGAAGTCTGAACCAAATCTTTCAATAGAAATGCTAAATGCTAATAATATGCTGATTGGAAATTTAGCAAAAACATCTACTATATTCATTGCATAAAACGTGCAGCATGAATTAGAAAATCATTTATGTGTACTAGAGCACAATGGTAATCAACAATACAGGGAAATGAAGTGACTTAACAAGCAAAAAATGCTCTATAAGTTAAGATCAGTAATTAACCTCTCAAGAACTATCCTGAATGATATATTGATATCTGATCTATATATAAAGGATTCGGTAAGGTGAACAGTAAAGAACATCTTTCAGAGATCGCTCCAGAAAATGGCACAAATGATATTGTGTATGATCCAAGCTATATTAGGAAGAAGATAAACTTTCAGATCAGTATCTTGCCCAATAATTGATAGGATTATAGGATACACTCTACAATGATCACTAGTCTGAAAGGCCAAAGAGCATAGGAAATTTACGTTCGTGAAAGAAGAAAAGACAACCCACTCAATAAAAGGTTGCTCTCTCTTGTATAAAATACAGTAAGGCGATATACGGATATACCTCATTTTTCTTCAAAGCTTTTTCAAATAAGATCAGACTTTCTTTGAGGCCATAAGACTCCAGCTCAACCAAAGCCTCCCCGTCTTGAGACATTTTACGCCACACACGAATTTCAGGTTTCTTTCTCCACTGGAAGTTGGGGTTTGGCAGCAACTCATAAATTGATGGACATTCTACTAGCTAAGCATAATATTGAAAATCAATCAATCTAAATGTATCAAAGACAAAAACAGATACACGTGAAGAAGGCTGAGATATTTGAATTGCATTATTTGACTAAAGAAGCTTGCTTATAATATGCGAACAATATCTGAGAATCTAAGTAAGCAATAGAACAAAATTAACACACTACCAAATTACCAAACACTTTAACAAAAGTACAAAACAACTCTATTAAGTGACTAATATATTTACAAGTTAAATTTTCTAAAAACAAATAACACCTAAATAAACTACAACAAAAGTTGAAAGAAATACTATGATGGTAGAGAAACAGTAGACACAGGTGTTGAGTTTAACCTTATACGAGTACTAACTATTCCAAAAAAGTTAAGGAAAACCATGAATACATGCAGTGTGACAGTGCCAAGAGGCCCAAGTTACCTTAGTGGACACCATAGGCACACTTCAGTTCAATCATTTTCATGACAGTTTGACATTTGATTATTTGAAGTGTGAGATTCACATGATTACTTTTACAAATTGCAACTTTATTCAAAAGCTGCTTGTTTTAAATGCTTTTACATATAGCTTTGTGTTCACAATTCCTTGACAGAGAAAAAGTGATGTCAGAAAAAGTTTTGTAGGAGCCAAGCACAAAAGATAAATATCATACATTAATAGTACATTACAAAGTTCCAAAAACATTGGATGTGGTTAACTGACATTCCACTCATAATATTGTAAATCCATCCTCGGGAACAAACAGTGGAATGTGTATATATCCTTCATAACCATTAAAGAAAAAATTTGTAGAATATTGGAAAATATAATCACCACATGAAGAAGTTAAGCATATCAACTTTAGCATAACTAACCAGTTGATGCATTGTCCACCGAGAAACAAAAAAGAAGCTCTCAAAGCCATCAACAAACTGCACTCCGGTTAACAAAGAATCGTTGATGCTACCTGGCGCGCCTATTTAGCAGTACGGAAAAGTCAAACATTCACATGCTATAAAGATAAGGATGAGAGCTTTCAAGTATTATCATTAGAAGTTTAGAACATCAGTGAGAGTTATCCTCGACATAATCTCTCAACTCTCTTGCATGCATAACTATTTGTAGCTCAATGACAACTGTGTGTAGACAATTTTCCAGATTTTGTGTGCTCATAGTTCTTTAGAATTAGTATTTGAATCCAATTTTTTTTAGGAAAAATTGATTGTAATAATCCCAACTATTGGCGGTCCGCTTATAATAATCCCAACTATCGATTATTTTAGAATAATCCCAACTTTAGGGTCCTTCTGCCAATAACAGTCCCTATAAATAAATTCATGTACTTTCTGAAGTGGATGAGAAGAGATATAGCAAGTAATCTCTATAAATAATCTTAACATTTAATTTTTACGCTTAATTTCTATTTAAAATTCACTTTTATAGAAGGTAATATTTGGTCATGCACTATTATTGGCGGATGGTCCATATAGTTGAGATTATACAAAAATAATCAATAGTTGGGATTATTGTTAGCGGACCGGCAATAGTTGGGATTATTATTTTCAATTTTTCCTTTTTTTTATATTGTTTCTTCACTTCCTTGAGCTTGTTGATAACAAATTACCTTGAAAGGGGCAGGCGATGGCAATCCACTTATTTACATACTTGGTGAATACCTGGAGTAGAATGTTTTTGCCCATCGTTAATAAGTTAGAGGGTATGTAGAATAAAAGACTGGTGAAAAGTAGTGCCCTGAATGTTCATGTACCATGCGAAATGATAAGAAAGTACAATGAAGAGAAAGAAATATGGTTAATAGATGATGCAGAAAGAGATGATAAATTTCATGCGAGAGATATGAAGCTTTAGTAAAAATGCAGAAGAGTAGAATAAGCTCGTTCCACTAAAATGTAGAAATGTAAACAAGAGGAAGTCTTGCATACATCAGCATGAAGTGACATAAAACATGTAACCAGTAATCCGCCCATTGAATGAGAAATTATGTTGATTTTCCGTCCTCCTGATGCAAGATATGCAGCATCCAGCTTTTCTTTTAGGCCATTCATTGCTTGGTCAATCCTGTATCCTCGAGATAAAAAGATTACTAAGTAACATAAACATGTTATATAGGAAAACATGCAAAGAAAGTTAATTGGGCATTTGTATACTTAACAGAAAGAAGATGAGGTTACAGAAGAGGGCAATGTTTCAAACTAAGAGAAATGTCCTGAATGGAAACAAGACCTGTTGCTTTGTCGAAAGTCATAGCCATAGCCAAACAATGTACTCCCTTTTTTGTATCCACATCCAACAAGCATATCAATCATATCATGAAAGTGGTATACATTTGACAAATGCACACACTTCACAAACTGAAAATCAAAATTAGAAGGTATAAGACATTGTAGACATGAGAAAAAATCTTGAACACCTGAAAAATACCACAGAAACTTTTGCAATCAAAACAACTGAACCAAGCAAATATATCACGTGCTATGTAATCTGTTTTAGTTCTGTTCTCCATATGTTCTTTCCCACATTAGTGACAAGATTGCGAAGAATGATTTTTGTAGTATAATTTCTTTAACTTGGTAGTTGGTACCTTCTTTTCTCCACAGTTGGAATGCATAACCTATCCCAGTATTTACTGCTATGAAAGCCTATGACCTTGCAGTGGAAAACTGAAAATCTCAGAACTACTAGAAGTATTGTTACATGTTTAAAAGTAAACTTCTAAAATATTTTAGCAAAATGAACAAGTCCAACATTTTACCCCACTCAGCTAATGTACGAGGGAAGAGTGTGTACTTAACTGTGTTAGTATATCACTCGTGCAGTGCACGGTGTGAGATACTTTCCAAAAGAATTATTACTACTTTTTATAATAAAATGTAAAAGGTCAACTTTTACAATAATAACGAATTGCAAGCATAGAGTAATCTATAATCTATAAAATAAATTTTCCAAGTCTCTTTAATATAAATTTTGTGTCAATAGATAATCTCATAAAACAATCTATATTCAATAGCAACATAACATTAGTGTCAACTTTCGAGGTCAACCTATGATCGAGTAGGTACTCCAAAAGTCTTATACTATTAGAGCTCAGGTGTGCATGTTCTCAATAAAATCATTAACTGAATCTACTTTACAGTTCACACACATGTACAAATATATATTTTAGATGTGTTAGTTATAAAAAAATACTCATTGAACATATTTTCTGAAATGAAATGGAATAGATCTTTAAAAGGGGGAGAAAATTGATGTATATGATGTACTAATATTTAAAAAGTGGGAGAAATTGGATATTCATCCGTCGCATTTACATAACTTTCGGAATATGTAAAGTCTAGTCCCCTAGTCTGGCAGTAGTTATGTACTCTCAATCAAAAATCATAATAAAGCAGTATAAATTATAAAAAAACAAATATACATTACAACAGTAAATTAAAGCAATAGGAACTACTCACCACCTCACTTTTCCATCATAGCCAAGTAAACAAAATCAAGCTGAAACATGATTTTATAATTTGAAACATTTCAACTTACACTTGAAGGATCCAAAATATCAATTGCATATAGGCCATGATCATCTTGAGGGACCACAATATCACAAGTGTCATCCAAACACTCTGTATAACCTGAAGAAAATTGTTTAATTTAAAAGTTTATTGTCTACAATGCAATTTTAATAAGAAAAAAGCGCAAAGCGTACCTGTTTGGGGGTTGTAGACAGACCATAACTTCTTCTTGAACTCTAGTTCGGCGAGGAGGATCCGGACCCAAACCCGGGTCTCCTGCCCAGTTTTCTTACTCCTGGAGTTGAGGATAGAGCCGGCCAAGCCGGACACCAGAAGGACAGGGTCCCTGTCGGCCACTGCGTCGCCGGAACATTGTTGACCCCGAAAGCAGGGACAGTAGTTCCAAAGCATTCCAGATGCTGGCTGGGGGTACGGGTCCGTGCTTCACTGGTTTGTAGAAGAGTGGTGCGATGTACACAGTTACACACCACACACCACGACACAGGGACGGGAACAGCAAATGAACTTACGGAGTACGGAGTATTTTTTAAGATAAATACTAGCGGCACCTACCATTGGTCTTTTTTTTTTTGACAGGCACCTACCATTCATCTTAGGAAAGCATGAAAGTTTGTTTTTAGTGCTTAGGATTCAAATCCTAACTTTAACTACATCCTTTTTTGGCTCCCAACTAAATATTACTCCCTCCATCCCATTTTGGTTGTCCTACTTTCCTTTTTGGATTGTCTCAAAATGAATGTCTTGTTTCCTTTTTTGGCATGAAATATGTGGTTCTTATTAATTCACTTTATTCTACTCAAATCTCAACCACAACTTTTACTTTTCAACCACTTTATTAATAATCGTGCCAAATTGAAAGTGGACAACCATTATGGGACGGAGGGAGTACACATTTTGCATATGCCGATGACCTTGTTTTGTTTTCAAAAGGGGATTATAAATCTATAGAGGTCTTAGTCGAGGCATTGCATGATTTTGGAATGGTATATTCGGATTGATGGTTAACCATGAAAAATCTAACATCTTCTTGGGTGGCAATGTGGCTTTTGCTTTATCTAGAATCCTTGAATGGGTTTACTTTCAATTTTCCAGTTACGTATTTGGGTATTCCACTTGCACCATTAAAGATCTCAGTGGCCCAATTCTCTCCTTTGATAGATAGTCACTGATTATATTAATGAATGGAATACTAAAACTCTGTCCTATACTGGAAAACTTGAGTTGATTAGGTCAGTCATGCAAGGGGTTCAGTCTTTTTGGTTGGGGATCTTCCCAGTTCCTAGAGCCATACTTGACAGGATTGTAGGCTTATGCCGTATTTTTTTATGGGGGGAGGATTTGCAATGGTTGCTTGATGTATGCTTACCCAAGGAGGAAGGGGGGGTAGGCATTAGGAATGCAAGGGTGTGGAATGATGCCCTCCTCTTTAGGACTTTATGGAATATCCATCAAAAACAGGACTGCATTTTTATATGTATATTTTGGCGCAGTCAACTTCAAAAAATGATTTGAATGCCTTCCCGGTCGAATTTTGAGCTGAAATTTGGTATGAACAAACTAGACTTGATGAAGAACATGCTCAAAAAATTTCATCAAAAAATTCCACCGGGAACCGGCCCAAACGGCGGAGTTCGGACGGCGCCTCCCGTCCCTCCGGCTGGACCTGATCACTTCTCTTTATATATATATATATATATATATATATATATATATATATATATATATATATATATATATATATATATATATATATATATATATATATAATTATATATATACACACACACATTTCATCAAAAAACAAGGAAAACATGAAAGGTTCAAATATACGGTTAACGTATATGTTCGATAAAAGATATAAGGATATCTTTGATGTTCATATAATTATATGAATAGGTAAATTAGCTTTTATTGAATTTAAATAAATAAAATAAATTATAAAACACCAAAAATAAATTATATATTGAATTCGGAAATTGAAAAACTAAAATTTAAAAAACAACTATTTTGTGTACCATGCCCCCTCTTATTACTTTATATCACAACTAGACGAAGTACCTGTGCGATGCACGGGTCTATCTAGAGTAGAATAATATTTTGTTTAAAATATAGTATTCCATCTGCTCTAAAATTAAATTCTGAGTTTGACTTCACGGGTTTTAAGGTAAAATAGGAAATAAAGTTGGCTTTCTAAATATTAAAAGATGTAATATTCAAATGGGTATAGTATAGGGGATAAACGAAAATGCAGAAAATGCATGTTGGGTTTTGGGCAGAAAAATGCAGCGGAATAAACGAAAAATTTACCACCTAAAAGTAAACAATCGGATCTGAGGTTCTTACTATAAACGAAATTGTAAGACATAAGAGGGACTTAAATAGCAATCTTAAGCAAGGATGTCAGACAGACCGAGAAAACGATCTCGAGCTCTACCGGTATCCACACGCACGTGACTGGATCGGCCGCAGGGAACGTGCTAGCGTTCTCTTCTTTCTTCCTCTCTACTTTAGGTTTAAGAAGTGAATTTTAACTCTTTAGAATTTGTGGGTCTATATAGCCCTATTTATAAGAGGAAGAAAGAAGTGGTTTTATAGCTAATAAACTCTCCTAGAGGCCCTAGCCCAATACCATTCGGAAACCTATTTCGAATTGGGTTAATCAGGCTATTTTAATGTCATTAACAACATTAATGATCCTGTAGGCTTATATATTATTGGCAGTGGGCTAGAAATTTAATTTGAGTCTCACAAATCATAAGCGGCCTCTAGCAAGGCATTATGACTATCCAAAAAATATATAATTGTCAATTAAATCTGACATCACCTTTTAATGATTAATTTGTGCTAATAATTCTCTTTTGTCAAACGATATCTTAATTGAGACAAAGTTAGGTCGTGTCATCCTTGTTATTCTCAATTTATATTTCTTGATTACCAAGTAAGATTAATCTTGATCAAATGACACCTCATTTGAGCATGATCATGCTAATTAATCTTACTTGTCAAGGGGCCCAATAGATATCTTTCTCTCGCTATACAAGAGTGACAAAAACTATTTTGATAATTCACATACTACTACATGGTTCATAATATGTACAATCACCACCTTTATAATTACTCATTTAAAGATAACATTTAATGGTGTTAATACATATTAATTCCCATGCAAGTAACCATGATTATCTCAAGTATAAGAATATAGCACCTCATCATTATTGAGGACAACACTGATGGCATATAACCTAGCAGTGTCCTCAAGTTGGGTCTGTCCAATCAACTTGTTCCCTAACAAGCATCTATGTTATTAAATTGATATCTCTATACCCATGACTAGTGGAATATAGCCATCAGTTAATCCACATACTGGTCTATTAATTATTAATGTCCCAAATTAATAATATTAGATCAAGGACAATTAGAATATTATGCTTATTTTAAAGTGTAGCATTCCACAATTAAGTCACGTACTTAATTAGCTACTAAACAAAATATTGAGGGACTAAATATTACTCCGTAATAAAGAAAACTCACAATAATAATTAACATAAAATGAGTTTGTGACTTTATTAATTAATGAGCATTAAATATTCATTGATAAATCATAAACTATGATTGTCATAGGGCATATTTCCAACAGTCTCCCACTTACACTAGGACCAATCGTGAACAAAACGAATGCCTAATGCACTAGTATGACGTTCATGCTTTGCTTGTGGCAGTGGCTTGGTGAGCGGGTCGACCACATTTGCATTTGTCGGTACTTTGCATATCTTGACGTCACCTCTATTGATTATTTCTCGAATGAGATGATAGCATCTAAGTACATGCTTTGATTTCTAGTGTGATCTAGGTTCCTTGGCTTGTGCAATGGCTCCATTGTTATCACAATACAAGTCCATTGGTCCAACAATACTAGGAACCAGACTGAGCTCAATGATGAATTTCCTTATTCATACCGCTTCTTTTTGCTGCTTCTGAAGCAGCAATGTACTCAGCTTCTATTGTAGAATCAGCCACTGTGTCTTCTTTATAACTCTTCCAGCTCACTGCTCCACCATTGAGGCAAAACACAAATCCTGACTGCGATCTAAAATCATCCTTATCGGATTGGAACCCAGCATCTGTGTAACCATTTACAATGAGCTGATCTTCACCGCCTTAGACCAAGAATACATCCTTACTTCTTCTCAAGTACTTTAGAGTATTCTTGACTGCTGTCCAGTGACTATCACCTGGATCTGACTGGTATCTACTAGTCATGCTTAGAGCGCAAACTACACAGGGAGAGTACATAACATAGCATACATGATAGAACCTGTAGCAGAAGCATAAGGGACTCTATTCATTCGATCTCGCTCATCTTGTGTTTGTGGACACTGAGTCTTGCTGAGATATGTACCATGTGACATAGGCAAGAATCCTCTCTTGGAATCTTGCATATTGAACCTATGCAGGACCTTGTCAATGTAGTTACTTTGACTTAGTCCTGTTAGTTTTCTAGATCTATTTCTATAGATCTTGATCCCTAACACATAGGATGCATCAAAGTGTAATTCCAAAGTTTAAAATACAACTGATATTCATATTCTATTATGTAAGAACAATACTTACTGGCATTTGTATTTTCTTTGTGTACACTTATAATCCATCCTTTTAATTTCTTATTAATCTCCTGTGTTGTCGATGAATTTATATTTATATTCTAATTTAGTGGAAATTGTACGATTTTGGATGGATGTTTATTTCAATAAATATCACATTGATTCGGATAATAATACACATCTTATATGCAGGATTAATACAATTCAATGTCCTAATCAATATAATATGTTAATTTTTAGGCATATTGATATTCGTGTAATTTCCGATTGTATGTTTGTATTTTTAACTAGTTTTTATTAGTTCTAGTTGTGGAAATTACACACTTTTGGTGTAATACTTTATTTTCATTTTGTATTTGTAATTTGTTTAGATTAGGATTATTCTGAGCTAAACAGGTCAAAGATCATCCAAGGGATCAAGATTAGACCTTAAAAGATCAAGGAAAGTGCAAGGAGGCAAGAAAGATTTCGATTTGGAAAAAATATTCATGTACCCGGTCGGGTATTGCCTATACCCGATCGGGTATTTGCTTGATTCGATTGTCCAAATCAAATCCGGGAACAAATGATCATGAGAGCAAATTTTCGTGAAGATTTGTCACATACCCGATCGAGTATGCCGACATACCCGATCAGGTATGCTAACATACCCGATCGGGTATGCCCAGAAAAGTGACTTTCTGGACAATTTCCTGAGATACCCGGTCGGGTATCCGATATACCCGGTCGGGTATCAGACCCTGCAGCTCCCAAAAGCCTATAAATACACCACTTTCCTTCCCAATAAAATCACCAATTCACATATACTCTTTAGCTCAGTTTAAAACTTTAAATTAGTGTTTTCTTTATATTTTCTATCATGTTTAGTCTCCAAGTGAGGAGCTAAACTCTTCCATCTTGGTTTTGCTACTTTGAAGCTTAATGAATTGTAAGTTGTGAGTTATTTTCTTTAATCTTCTTCCTTGAATATTAATTTTTCCCTTA